TGTTGGACAGGAGAATTTCTCTCTCTATATATATACCATAATAGAGCAGGATTCCAAATTGAATACTATTTTCGCCCACATAGAACTCTTAAGTTGCATTAAATAAAAAATTAATTCATGAATCGTTGAGTGTCTGAGAGTTATGAAAGCTGTAAATAATTTTGTAAATTATGATATACACTAAATGTATTTTTACTTGATCACTAATCACATTTTATGACAAATATTATTATTTTAACTAATAAAGTTGTAATTATTCATATTCTTAGTTGTTGAACTAATATTAAAAGAGTAATACATGTACATATTTTGTTGTATTATTGATGGTACCATGGATCACAGTTTAATTCAACTATGCGAGCTTAATCTACAAGAGCAAATGAAATTTGAGCAGCGTAAGACAGTATTATTATTCCGGAATTTGGATCCTTGGTAGAATGTGTACAAGAAGTATTTATAGACCTTAATTTCTAGTATTCTAAGATGAAATCGATACATTTAATGCAATTAATTAGAATAGAGTCCTATAACGTCTCGAACATTGTGCAATGATCGTTTCCCTCAAGTCCACGTAGGGATGGATTCGGGCCGGGTCGGGCCGCCGGTTCGTATCATATGGGCCCGGGACCGGCCCGAGGGTTGGACGGGTCCGGTTCGGGCCGGGCCACCCGCCGGGTCACGGGTCGGGCCACCCGCCGGGCCGGGCCGGGCCGGTTAATTTTTTTTTTTTAATTTATATTTTATACTTTATAGTTTTATACAAGTATTAAAAAACAAACTTCAAGTGCATTTATTTCAAATGAAATAGGAACTACATTTGAAAATTAAATAGGAACTATAATTGTTTTTAATCGGAATCTTCGGCATAGGTAGAACCACCCTCTGTTGTAGATTCATCCGTAAAGTGTTGGGATGGAGTGATGTCAATTTCTTGAGCTCTACGTGCTGCTTTCAACCAATCGTGGTAGCATATAAGCATCTCAAGAGATTCAGCGCTCAACCTCGTTCTGGTTTGTGTTAGAACATTGTCGGCCGAACTAAATTCTTGTTCCACGGTAACCGTTGAAACCGACATTGATAGCACTTGCTTAGCCATCTTTGCTAAAACCGGGAACATTCTTTCTTTTCCCTTCCACCAGTTTAGTACGTCAAAATCATCATCTTCTTCAAAATCAACATCATAAGTTAAATACAAAGAAATCTCATTAATTGTGCTTTGTTGTGTAGCGGGAGTTGATTTTGTTTTTTTAATAAGATTGGCAAACGTAGATTTGAAAATTGATTTTCCTTTAGATGATGTTTGTGTCGGGGGAGGGGGCGCATTACCATATTGTGCATGAAACTCATTGAATAATGCATAAAATATATCACTAACCTCGTTGTATTCTTTTTTCGGATCAATTGGGTTGTCCTCATACATCGGCAATGGACCAAAAAAAGCAGCATAATAATAATTCAAACATTCTTCTAAAGAACCAAGTCTAAAACGAGGATCGAGAACAAATGCAATACCATAAATATGCGGAATATGTGAATAATATTTTAAAAACTTTTCCTTCATAAAACCAGCAAAATAACTCACATAATCAGCATTCTCAAAATTTGAAAAAGCATCGGCGAGATTAACAGCTTCACGAATAAATTGGTTTGAGGTAGGTTTATAAACATGACTAAAAGTTTCAGTTGCATTATTAAAATATATCAAAGCATTACAAATTTTTTCACAGGTGTCGATCTCAGCCGAGTTCATAATATAGTTATCATATTGTTTCATAAAAGCAGGAAAATGTTGTTTATATCTAAGAAGAACTCCAATTAACTTATAGGTACTATTCCAACGAATAGACAAATCTTTTGGAAAAGCCACATATCTCTCACCTCTTTCTATCAAATAATCATGCCATTTTTTCCTAAGTTGTCCATTACCCCAAATACGTCTAATCCCCCCTTGACTACCTCCAACGATGCTCCCAACGCTTTTAGACCATCTTGCACACATAAATTTAGAACATGACATGCACATCGTTGATGAAAAAATCTACCCATCAAAGAAGTAGAACCACACAATTCACGCAATCTAGGAATAGCAGCAGTATTATTAGTAGCATTATCAAAACCAATAGCAAACACCTTATCAATTAAATTATACTCAATTAAAATACGTTCAATCAAAATATAAATATGTTCAGCGGTGTGACGATCATTAAATTCACGGAAAGCAAGAACACGTTTATGCATATGCCAATCATTATCAATATAATGTACAGTCACACCCAAATAATGTAAATTATGATAAGTATACTCCCATATGTCAGAACATACAGTAACACGTCCATCAAAGTTTGCAAAATAATTTTGTAACCTTACCTTTTCCGCACCATAAAGCCTTGAAATTTCTTTCTTAACCGTTTTGCGACTATAACCTCTATATTGCGGATTTAAACAAGTTTGTGCATAATCACGAAAAGCAAGACTTTCAGAAAACAAATAAGGCAAATTTTCTTCAACAAGTAAGTTAGCCATACCTGTCAAATTTTGTGCAACATTGTATGAGAAATTACCAAAAGCTTGTTGGTTATTTGCAAACCTCGATATTTGCGTTTGCTTCCCCGTTCCGCCGCCTAATTTTGCATACTCCACCGGGTGTTTGGACTTAAGGTGTCTTGTGGCGGATCCGTATCCGCCGGAAATCCCCAAGCTATAGTTTTTCTTGCACCAATTGCAAGTTGCAGTCCAATTCCCGGTGTTCGGGTCCTTCCACTTAGAAAAATTATTAGCCATTAATTCAGATTTACTTTTTTTTGTACCTGTTTGGGATGAGGCTGCTTGGTCGGCGTCATGGCTGCCGCCACCCTCCTCCTCCTCGTCGTCGTGGCTCTCCGGAATTGCTTCCTCCACATCGTCGTCCTCGTCCTCGAGCTCTTCTTCGTCAATGGTCCTCGGTTGGTCTTGAAAAAAGCGGGAATTATGTCGGTGCAATTCTTGTTCTAGTTGTTCGTCGGTCATCGCATTCTCATCCCTCCTTACGTAACCCGTATCAAAATCATCTCGACTTTGAGATGAAGAGCCGATATGTGATTTACCTTTGCGGGATCTCTTCCTCGCAAGCTCTTTCGTTCGGTTGCGCTCGAGGTTACCCATATCAACCGAATATCTAGGACGATCCATCTAAAAAATATAGCGATTAATAAAAAAATTGTAAAAAACTAATTAACTATTTATGTAACTATTAAATCGAGTTATAGCAAATTAAGTAGTGAATTAACTAGTTTTGTGTACAACATATTTTTTAAACTAGAGTCAAATGTAGCAATTAATAAAAAATTGTAAAAAACTAATTAACTATTTATCTAACTATTAATTCGAGTTATAGCAAATTAAGTAGTGAATTAACTAGTTTTGTGTACAACATATTTTTTAAACTAGAGTCAAATGTAGCAATTAATAAAAAATTGTAAAAAACTAATTAACTATTTATCTAACTATTAATTCGAGTTATAGCAAATTAAGTAGTGAATTAACTAGTTTTGTGTACAACATATTTTTTAAACTAGAGTCAAATGTAGCAATTAATAAAAAATTGTAAAAAACTAATTAACTATTTATCTAACTATTAATTCGAGTTATAGCAAATTAAGTAGTGAATTGACTAGTTTTGTGTACAACATATTTTTTAAACTAGAGTCAAATGTAGCAATTAATAAAAAATTGTAAAAAACTAATTAACAATTTATCTAACTATTAATTCGAGTTATAGCAAATTAAGTAGTGAATTAACTAGTTTTGTGTACAACATATTTTTTAAACTAGAGTCAAATGTAGCAATTAATAAAAAATTTGTAAAAAACTAATTAACTATTTATCTAACTATTAAACAAGAGTCAAATGTAGCAAATTAACTAGTAATTAAACAAGTGTAAATAATAGAATAATTTCGTACCTCTTTCGGTCTTTCGGATGGGAGTAATAGAATGACTTCAAATTAATTAGATATAATTCCAACTATATTAATAGATATAATAAATATATAAGTAATATATAATTAGATAACAAATATAAGTAATATAATACTATTTATATCTATTTATAGTTTATATAAGTAGATAATTAATATAAACTATAAATAATAAATATAATATATTGGAGAATGGAGAATAAGAGAATTAGAGAGTAGAGAATTAAGAATAGGATTTAGGAAGAATTGGAGAAGAGATATGAAAAAATGTTTAAGATTAGGAGTATTTATAGGTTTTTTTACCCCCCACCCCCCCACCCCCCCACCCCACCAGCCAACCCCCCCAGACCCCCCCCCCTTTACCCCACCCAACGGCTATATAGCCGTTTGGGTTGTCCCCAGTCCCACCCCCAACGGCTAGTAGCCCAAGAGCCCAATTTTTTTTTTTAAATAAGACCGGACCCGGGCCCGACCCGGCCGGGCCGGGTCACATTAATCCAGCACCGAGCCCGCCCCGCCCATTCCCACCGGTTCGGGTCCATACCCGGTCCCGGACCGCCCGACCGGGCCGGTCCCGGGCCCGCACAGTACCGGGCCGGGCCGGGCCGAGTCACGAGCCGGGTGGCCCGAACCGAATCCAACCCTAAGTCCACGTTCCTTCCATTATTTTCTGCCGCTGCCAGATAGCTAAGCTCAAATGATAGCCCACCACATAAGCCCTAGGAAAAGTCCGACCTCGCTAGAACTCTGTCCAGGCTCGAGGTCTGCTGTCTAGTCTAGCCTGGTTGTGGATCCTTTCACGGGTTGGATTCCTTAATTAGGCCTAGCGACTATTATTTATCATTAATACCAATTAACAGGCTGATCCCGTTGATGAGCTGTTCTCGTTGATGGACTTTACTTTAATTCGATTAAATATGTTTCTCTAGTTGGATACTTGGATGAGCAAAAAATTGACATTATATACATAATAGTACTTCCATCTCACTAACATTGAAACATGAGAAAGTGATACGATTATTAAAACAAGATAATCGTACTATTATTTCCCATGGTAGTATTGAAACATAATAGGCAGTGATTACTATTATTTTGCGAATAAAAAGCAAGAGTACTATTTTGGAACATACAAACGTTTTAATCTTAATTAGGTAATTTCCCAAAGTTCTAATGTACCAAACATGCCATGGCACATCACTTTCCAACGTCATTTTTGTGACACCACTCTGGTATGAAAGGTAAATAAAAGAGTCCAACCACACGTACCATGTGAAGGAATCTACACATACTGTGTGAAGGAATTAACTAATCATTCGCTGAAAATGAAATATTTGAGGCACATGTAGATTTTTTTCATTCCAGTAAATTAATTAAATCTCACTTTGCACATTATTGCTTTCCCTGCAAGGAAATCCCCGCAACTGCGCGGATGGACTCGCGTGGGCGTTCCAAGGTCGTCGTCTGCTGCATTGTGGGACCCTGCTGCACGTTATCAGTTGGATGGATGTTCAGCAATCCACTGGAAACTCCAGAGCCATGAGGTGAGGAAATATGAGAGAGCGCTTGGTAGTAGTCAAGATCATCACTACCCTGCACATGTACAGCTGTAGCAGCATCAGTTGAGGCGTCTGAAGGGCTATCGGCAAAGGATGGAAAGCTCACAAGGGATATCTCAGACATTGCTTGGAGCAATGGATTCATCCCGGATACTCTTTTAACGGTTTCCTCCGCCATCTTCACCTGTATGAAGAAGAGCATATATTAAAGGTGCTATATTTGTTCACCTTACTCTTTTACCTTATTACAGATTCCTGATTTAATCAAATCAGAGCCGGTCAGATTTTACTAGAAAATATAACATTCAGACCATATCATAACTGACGAAAGAGACATTCATGTCAAACCAGATTCAGACAAGAAATTTAAACATAAAAAACATTCAAATCAGGTTGCAACACACCATAAACATAAGGCCAAGTAAGACTGGATCACACCATACCCAACCATATCAAAGATCACATTATTGTCTAGCGAAGAGAACGAGCCCTAAGCTCTCTATGTTCTCTTATCAAGTGGAAGAGTCAAAATAAAGATGAATGGCTTCTCTAAAGCTATATTGCAACAATGTTCTTAGGTGGATGTTTACAGATCATGTTCGGGTTGCGATTTGAAAACATAATTTGTTGTTTGAAAGCACATGTTGTGAAAATAGGTTTTGTTGAGTGCCAAGTGCTTCAATAACTTTTTTACAAAACGCTATTTGTAAGTGTTGAAAAAAAGATTATTCATAGGACACCTGAGTCCATGTAAGTGAACTGGAATACTGCAAGGCTTGAAACAAAATTCAAGATTTATCTGCTACACAGGGGTCGAAGCCAATACAACAACAACAACATTCAAGCCTTAATCCCAAAAGATGCTTAATTCACCCGCTTGCACAGTAAACTTCAATGGATCGTCAAGAGATAGCTTCCCCAATCTTATCAAATAAATGAAACATGGCATGCCATGTTTGGCTACAGAAGCAAAATATGGTGAGCAGACCTGTACAGAAAAGGGTCGGCTCAATCGTCCCACCCAGCCTGCCCTTACAAACGGGTCTGTTTGGACTTCAGACATATGTTTACCACTGGTCCGGGCCTGCAAAATATATGGGCGTACTTGGTATGGGGTGTAGGCTGTCTCGGGTTGCAGTACATTTAATACACACGCACATATATAGACGTATATATAACATGTGGCCAACTATGGATGGGGTATCCGGGTATGGATATGTGAGGTGGCCGTTTATTATGGCTGCCGGATGCCCGGATGGGCAGAGCCCACCCACATTAATGAGCAGAAATTTTGGAAAAAGCCCGGCGCGTGCCTGTTATTGTACATGTTTTTTATGAGGCACTCGGGATATGATGGAGGATGTTTGTAAAGTTGATCAGTATTTATGGCCACTATGAAGTGAATAACTTGTTATATAATTCCTTGTATACTATTTGAAGATTCCAGTAACTCTTGCTTCACTAATCCATCATTTATATCTTCATTCTTAAACATCACGATTTATGTTTGTACCAACTGCTAAGCAAAATGAGTATATGAGGACTTCTACAATTCAAACACTAAGGGCATATTTGGATCTCGTAGAATGTTAAGGGAAGGAAAACAAAAACGTTATGCAAAGTCTTTTTTTGTGTAACTTTACTACAAAAATTGCAAAGGAAAATCAAATATGATTAATGTTCTTGAAATTTCAACATCAATTTAGATTGCAGTCTTTATATAAAATGGAATTTTATCAATCCAGGATCTTAAAGATAGGTCCACTATCAATAAGGGACTTCAAAGATAAAGTGTGTCAATATAGAGACCGAATGATTGAAAACTATCAATCAAAGACCTAAACCATCATAGATTTTGATTAATTTCATTTTTATAAATTTCATTGCTAATGTTTGATGATTTTTCCTTCATAAAAGTCTATTAGTTTAATAAGATCAAATAACATTTAAATTTAATAAAAAAAAAATTGTGGTAGTTTAGGTCTTAGATTGGTAGTTTTCAATCATTTGGGCACTGTATTAAAACACTTTATCTTTCAGATATCTTATTGATAATGAACATATATTTCAGGTCCCTTATTGATAGTGGACCTATCTTTCAGGTCATGAATTGATAAATTTCTAAAAAAAAATAGTTAGGACAAAAGCTAGTCTTCCTCACATTTTCTTCCCTTCAAACTTTCTCCTATATTTCTTCTCTACTTTCATTCCCTAGCATTTTCTAAGTTTTGAACTGACAATGACTCTCTAGAACATGTGCACTTCGATATAAATGGTAGGGAAGATAAGAGGACTTTAAAAAATCCGAGTTCAGCTAACTTGTATTCATTAAAAAGGGATGTATAGCAATACATACATCTGACCTATGAAAATGATGGAACCTGTTGTTTCAAACTTTACTTACCTTCTTGGGTACTACTGATGCATAAAATAAACTATTTCTTACCTTTGCTCTTAGTGTCTCAACATCTGCTTTCAGGATTCGATTGTCAACTGCAGCATCATTATGTTTTTGGCTTATGTCAGCCAAACGCTTCAACAGTGAGGAGTTTTCTACTCTCAATTGAGAAACCTAGGAGAAAATAATGATTAATAATTGAAAGCTTAGTCAAAGAGCATCAACTGAGCTAAAGCACTATAAGTCGCAATACCTGTGTCTCCAATTCTGTTTGATGAACTTGCTTTCTTCTTCTAGAACGTCTAGCTGATTCTCTATTGGATAGCATTCTATTAACATAAAATATTTGTAAGTTGGAGAGACCAAATGGAACCAAAAATGGTATATGAAGGGGTTCTTTGCGTAAGAGGAACAAATAAAAAAGATAAACAAAAGGTCCATGGAAATTTGAGGAGTTTTCCTTCTCCTTCGGAATTTAGGGATTTCTCCTTCTCCTTAATTTCTTCATAGCTGTTTCTTGGATATTTTATTAACATAGCAAAGCTCTTTCTTATAAGAGAGCTTACATGCATATGAATGCCAAAAACAAGGAAATGGAAATCCTAGAAAACTACTTCCTAAAATAAATTAACTAATAAAGGTATTAAAATAAAATCATAATAAAATCAATCAAGCAAATCCATCAGCCCTTGATGTCAACTAGCACATCCATAAAAACAATAAGGGTTTTTTTCAAAAATATTACTAAAGTAAAACTTATTTACATAAATATGACTACTAGTTACTACACGTAGTTTCATGGTAACTTAAGTTTAAAAATTTAACATAAGTTACTATGATTTCATTACTACTCTAGTCACTAGTCATATTTTTGTAAACAACCTTTATGGCTTTATTTTAGTCAAAAAATAATATTGAGTTTTGCCGGATAAAAAGGCTTAAACGCAGCCTGATGCACATTGGCATCCTCTCGTGGCGAGGGTTGAAGGAAGAGTCCACTACAAGGCTTAATACACACACACACAAAAGTCAACTCTAGGCGCCAGAGTGGTAAAAGAACTAGTCCTCGTAGAGTCTGTCTAGTTCAATGTACTAAAATATGTTACTTCCGTATGGGATCTGACGAGCTAAGATTTAATAATCTTTTCTGTCTCACTTAAATCAGTTTACACACTTAGTAATCAAAAACCTTAACGTGACAGTAACCATGTGAAATTAACAAATTTTAGTGCTAGGAACCTAATAACATCTTGGATTCTAAAAAGATAGATGCTATTTACAAATTATATTTACGGTAAACTAATTTTATTACCGCCTTCGACTGTTGGACTATTTGTGTATTAAGCTATAAAAAATGTATATGTAGATCACTATGCTAAAAAATACCTAAGATCCATTTGGTATAAAGGTTTGGAACAATTAGACTAAAAAAACACTAACTTTCTTCTACTGAGAGCATAATTATATTTAATCCTGAATGATGGTTTGAGCATTAGGCTCAATTTTCTCATACCAAATGCATGTTAAACAAGGCAGGTTCTGCAATTGATACTCAAGAAATAAGCTTACCATTTTTAGTGAGAAACCTCACAACAAAATTAGAATTATACAACTATAAAGGATGAAGTGCTGCATTAAGCATGAATTAGAGTTAACATTGAAAATACCATTATCATCATCACCTCAACCCAACTAGTTGGGGATGGTGGCATGAAACCTGTAGGGCTAAATAATTTTCTAAATTTAGTTAACATTATATATTCACGAAAAGTCATAATAACAATGTTTTAGGTTGGACTCCTTCCTGTTGAGACCTTCCTAGTTCCTACAAAGGAATAATGAGATGAAATTTCAAAACGTTCATCACCATAAGCCCCTCCCTACTGCTCATTCTTGATAGATTGAATATGAATGTTTAATTTTTAAAGTTCCTTTTGTGGTGGTGCTGGCGTGCCGCATGCTACCTTTCTTAAAAACGAATTGGGTAAAACATCAGTATTATAGTAATCCTGACCTCCTTGCACGTTTCACTTCTGTTGCATCCATTTGGTGAGTTGTTTCTGCTTCTCCATCAAGTTCATCATCATCAGACTGTTCTGAGCAACTTGTTGACCGTACCCGAGCACTGGAATTCCTGTGTAGGACAGGTAAGTAGGGTGTTCCAACATGACATCCGCCATTCTTCTTTTGCCCATTGGGCAAATAGTTCCTAGATCCTACATAGTAAAAGTAATGCGGTGAACAGTTTGTACAATGAATTATCAAATCATGACACCCTCTTTCAACATGTCATTGGGAAATGTTATCAACAAATGTTGCCTTATAGGATACAATGTTTGCCAAACCTGATGAGTTACCACTCATAATAAGTAAACAACGTCAAGAAAAGGCTGGAAGGCACTGAGGCTTAGGACTGAAAAAAACGAATGACAAACGCTATCTTTTTGTATTCCCATTATTATAAATTTCAACCCATTAGTAGAACGAGAACATTAAAGAAGATGTGTTCCAAAGAAGGTCAATGAGCCAGAAAGACTACGTCCTTAAATTATTTATTATTAGATTTGAGTCCACATATACATAGATTCTCTGTGCCTACAGCTAGTAACAACATCAAACAGTGTCTCCAAGAAACTCATCTCTAGTCTAGGATGAAATACTTCAAGAAGGCCAGTGCATATTGAAAAGGCTGACTTTAGTAGAAACAGTGTTATTACTTATCATGCTCCAGAAGTTTTACTCATTGCAGCATGCCAGTATGTAATCATACTTGTCATGGCGGTAAGTCGAGTCGAGTCGCGGCGCCAGCTGACCGCCATACTGCCTAGGCTTCTAGGCGCCCGCCTAGGCAACAACTAGGCGACTTGTCGTGTCACATGTAATATTTAAATATACATATATAATAATATCATATAAAATAATATATTGCATACTCCGTATTAAATTAAAAATGTATATGAACCAACATATAATTTATAATTTATATAGAATGAAATAATATATTGTAGAGTAAATTAATTTAATATATCTATATATATGCAACAAAAAATAATTTATTTTATTAAATAGAACAAATGTTCAATAAGGAGTACAAATTTTCACAAAAGAAAATCAAGGTAAAGGGACTATAGCTGTCTCCAACTGTCTCTAGTTATGCTTTTAAAAGCAAGAATAACGAAAGAAAGAGTAGCAGAACAGTAAAAAATGATTGAGTGCAGCGGCTACTTCAGTTTGAATAGTCCGCAAGTCTCATAAACCTGGAACAGGCGAGAGAAATGGAGACGTAGATGGAGTAGCGGCAGCTATATACGACAGCCACCTGAGGCGGCGACCTGCGTGAGCGACCTGGCGGACGGATTGAACAGTTACAGGCCTAGATCTCTGGCAGATGCCGGGTTGGATCGGAAAAAACAAGCTCTGGGCGTCGCCACAACGACTTTCAGACGCCTAATCGACGCCAATTTACACCTTGGCAGCTTCAGGCGAGTCGAGCGAGCATGACACCACTTCTCCACCGCCTGGACGCCTAGTCGGTGCCTAGGCGACGCCTACTCGACGCTGTAACAACTATGTATGTAATATTTGCAAATTGCAAGTCTTCCGATATAAGAAAGCAAAGATTTCATGATAGGCATGCGGATGATCAGCCTATTCAATATTTTGATAGAGTCTATCAAAGGAGGAATAAAAGGGTAGTTAGTTAGTTAACAAATTAATTAGCTAACTGTTGACATCCTTGCGTGGATGATAGCTATAAATAGGAGGGGCACAGCTAAATAAAGCAGACTGTTATTTCGGTTGGCTGTAGACTTGGAGATTGGGCATCTCGAATTGTCCCTAGCACTGTATACCTATTTTGATCTGTTCTTACTCAATAAACAAAATGTTGATCTGTTCTAGATCAATTCTCTTAGATTCTCTATTGTTCTGAGTATTCGATTACCAGTGTTCTATCGTTGGTATCAGAGCAGTCGTTTCTAGTGACCGGAATTATTGTAGCAACACCAGAAATTTTCTGCTCTAGTCGTGAATGGTTAGGACGAGAGCTAAGATGGAGATTCAAATGGAAGCAATGGAACGTAGTAAGGTCACGATGGAGGAAAGGGACTCATTCTTTTTACTTAATGAATGAGTCACTTCCTCATATCCCAAACATAGTGGGACACATGTAGAAAAGGGTAAAAGAAAGCAAAATCTCAAAGTGTGAGGTGTAAATTCACCTTAATAGTGAGTAAAAGGAAACAGATATCTCATGTTGGACCATTGTTATTCTGGTATTTCTCTCCCAACTATTACAAAGATACTTGTCAACCAAATCCTTGAAATATAGTATTAAGGTTCTCAATTAAATGAATTATGATTTTTGCTTCAAAATTACTTGAGGAATATTATTCCATACTAGACCTTCATGAAGGGCTTTCGTTTTTTAAAAAAAGTCATTGAATCTTTGTTTTGTTTTTATGCGACGTACAGCTAGTTGTATTTTTCTAATATTGGCTTCTTACTAAAGTTCATAACTGAGGTACCCTTCCGTTGGAAAGTAGAGCTTCAGTTTGTGTTGTAAGGATGTTTTCTTTTGGACTGAAATTTGTTGGTCTGGTCTGGTCTGAACTGGCCTAGTAAATGTTTGGTCTCTGTATATTTTATAACTGTCCAAGTCTAGTCTGGTCTGTTTAAGACTGGTCTTGCTTGGTCTGATCTGGTTTGGGACTGAAAACAGTCCAAAAGAAAACATCCTAATTGTCAACATCAACAACGAGAGTGGGGATAGCCATGTGGGTATTGGGTTCGCGTTGTTTGTAGCTGAAAAATCTCTCAGAAAAGAGAGTGGGGATTGAATCAACCTTGATCACTGTATCCTTTCTTCATCTCTATTTTACCTTTAGCTATTTATTATTCTTTAATATTCCCTGTTTCTCCAAAAGGTTACACAAATTCTTTCAGTCTGATGTGAATTTTTGGGGAACCAAACAAAAATGTTGAACTCTAAAATAAAACAAGTAGAAATACTAAAAAGGGCACTAATAAACACTACTCTTAAGACAGTCCAGATAGTTCCATTGAGAGACATACAAAGGTGTTAATACGGTTGAAAGGAAAACAATCAACATAATAATCCCCATACCAGAAAATAGCAAAACTGGAATATAATCAACAAAACAAACCCCATACTAGATAATACCACACACTGGAATATAATCAACAAAACAATCCCCATACCAGATAATACCAGACAGTCAGACACTGGAATATAAAGTATAAACCAGTATCTCCAACCACCCATGCAGCAATCATTCATCAATACAAGATGTCTATCTACTTTTCCAGCTAATATCTTGATATGAAAGATCACAGAGTTCGTACACAAATCATCCAGAAAAGAACCACTAACCATTGCAATGAACCAGCGATTCAGGATTTGAAATAGAAGACTCAAATCCCTTTTCAGGCTCAGCAGAATTTCCCTGACAGATAAAATAAGATAGTATAAGCAAATACATAAGAGTTTCCTACTACCACCACTTTTCAGTTGGGTCCAATGCATAAACTACTCCGTCAACAGTGAATTAGATTCATAGAGAGACATTAAAAAATACGGAAATATTCAAACCATAGAATTCTCAAAATTCGAAATAAGGAATAATAATGATATTATAAAAATACGGAGTAATAGACTAATCGCTAAGCAAGAACACTGACGTTCTCCAAATTTGTTCTCCGCTATATTTTTTAGTGCGCGAAATTCCGGAAGAACACAAAAAGACGGAGCTGTTTTCGAACGTACACGTGAGAACGCTACTGCGGCACAGGCAAGATATAGACGGGTTTTGAGGAATGCCTGATAATCCTTGGAATCAACCGGAACATTAGCTGTAGCTCCTGTATCCAGAGACGCCGTCATAGATTTTTCCATAGCCAGTTGGGGCCCGGAGCTCTTGTCCCCGAGTTTGATATTCATATCTGTTCTAAGATTCCGATCCACGATCATAGCGCCGGCCTTTTGAGGCGGTTGTATCCAGCGGGGAGAAGTTGTAGAGGTAGAAGAAGAAGAAGAAGAAGAAGAAGCAGCCGGGGCGGAACTGTGATCAACTGATGCGGAGGCCTCCTGGAGGAAGCGCTGGAAGGCACATTCAGAAGGGCTACGGTTAATCATCTTGGACGGGGACGAGTCTATGTTCAGCTCCGCCGCCCTCATCAGGCGCACCGCCGGCAGCGACCGGAAGTTGTCGCCTTTTTCGTCAACAGGTAGCACCTTATCCATTTTCAGGTTTTCAACTCAGAATAGTAAAGATGTTTCACCGTATCCATATAAGAGTACTTTGAGATCACATGAGTTCTACTATAATCACATGAGTACTCGGTTTGCTGTTAGGATAGAATGAACGTTTTTATTAAGCTATAAGGAGAGAAAATGAAAAAGATGAGACAGATAAAAAATGAAGAACTATCAAATAAGTCCTCGAACTTTCATAAAAAGTGCAGATAAACCCTTTTATAGAAGGTTCTGTTCGGCCGTCGTCATTTGGAGTGGTTTTCGGTGGAATTTTTTTATGAAATGTTTTGAGCATCTTCTTCACTGAGTCTAATTTACTCATACCAAGTTTCAGATAAAAATTCAATCGGAACGCAGTCAAATGAATTTTTGAAGATAACTGTGCAGTTAGGCAGCGCAGTATATTTCAGAAAATCCTTTGACTGCCTTCTTGATTGAATTTTTAGCTGAAATTTAGTATGGGTAAACTAGACTTAATGAAGAAGATGCTCAAAAAAATTTATCAAAATATTTCACCGGAAACCGCCCCAAATGGCGACAGTCGGACAAAGACTCGTGTAAAAGGGCTTATTTGCACTTTTTATGAAAGTTCGAGGGCTTATTTGATAGTTCTCCCGATAAAAAAATGAAAAGGATGAGTGAGATAAAAGTAGATCTAGACGTCGTTTGGTAACACTATTTTTTGGCTTATGAGTCTTGTCGGTAAACTTTTTCACCAAACACGTAAATTTTGTTTTCGCGCGCCGAATTGTGTAATAAGAAAAAGTAAGGTCGAAGTTACTTTTTTGGCTATATTGGCTGAAGTTACTGTAAATGATCATTTTAGCTATCTTTACATATAATTTTTTCTTTATATTATTAATAAAATGTATTTTAAAAATGATTTTTTCTTAAGTCATAGAATGAGACAATGCAATCACTTCAGTCATAACTTCATAAATTTCAACAGAATTTAAACTTCCATCTTCATCTTTTTCATTTTTCTCTCCTTATAAAATGAAATAACCGTTGGGCGACTTTCCCTTAAGTAAAAACGTCGGTCAGCCACAAAACATAACGACGTAAACCCAATCCCCAAATCCCCCAAGCCGCAGTGACGAACGACGAAGGACGAACGACGACCGAGCGAACCTTCATCTCCGGCGAACCTCCATCTTCGGCGACCCCACTCCGTCAAACTTCCATCTTCATCTTCAACACTCTTTCTTCTTTCTTGTAGGTAAATCAAACTCCATTTCATCTCATTTTGAACTTAGGGTTTTGAATGTTAAAATTTTCGATTTTTTAGATTATGAATTGATTGTGAATTGAATTGTTGTGAAATGTGGATATGTATGAAATGTTGAAATTTGATTTTAAATTGAGTGTAAATTTTAAAGTATATTTTGACATTTGGGCATTTTGGTAGATTTGAATGTAGCTAAATTTGGGTATTGAAATGTAGACTTGAATGTAGATATCAAAATTTGGGTATTTTCATATTGAAATGTGAGTTCTTTGTGAAATTTGACTTTTGGATATATTAGAATTTTGGTAGTTTTTTATATTGAAATTTTGAATGTGTAGGATATCTAAATGAAGATTTCACTCCGTTATCTCACCCGGGGCACCAGCCCTTACACGTGGCATCATTTATTTGGTTAAATTTGAAATGGTTCTTTTACACATATACATGTGGCTTTTCTTTTCTGCTTAATTATTAAAACCCTCCAGCCTCTTGTTTAAGGCAGTCCTAAGACGTCGGTGAAGGAAATAAAGAAAGGGGAGTAAGACGGCGATGAGTTCTTCGAGTGCTGAGTCCTGGTCGATGGATGCAAGAAGGCCAGGTGAATTAAGAGGTGTGACTGTGGACTCCAAGCACAGGTGTGGACTGCTACAACAAACAAAAACAGGGAGAAAAGATTTTATGGGTGCGGTCGTTTCTTGAGTGGTCAAAAATGCAATTTCTTTGAATGTGTTGAGGATGAAGAATGTGGTACTTGCCTGAGACGGATAGAGACCTTGCTCCAGAAGATTACCAGTGTTGAAGAGAATTTCCGGATGAAAGAATTAGAGATGCAAGCTGAAATCAAGAGTTGTGTTCGTGGGATTGGTCTTTTGAAACTCCAAAATATGGAAGAGGAACTTAAGATGTCAAAGAAAGGCAATGGGACTTTCTCCTCGAATGTAATGTGGTTCGGGTTGTTTGTTATCATCTTGCTGGGAAGTAGGATATATTAGAATATGTTTAGGTGTTGTGTGGTTGTATGTGGGTACTGATTTGGTTGTTGAATTTGGTTGTATTGTTGTAATGAAGATTATGAATTTGGTTTTCAAGCTTATGGTCTTTTTGAAGCTTTTGTTGTTAATGATCATGTTGATGGGAATCATATATGTATAACGTAGTTTGTCTTCGATTAAAAAAATTAATAGTAAAAATTAATTAAAAAATTAATTAAAAAAAAAGAATTAGTATAATAGTAAAAATTAAGTAATACGATTTTGTTTGTTTGTTTGTCCTGACATGGAGGTGAATTAAAAATTAACTAATGCGAATTAAAAATTGTTTGTTTGTAGGCATGGAGTTGACAGCGGATCCTGGGCCGAGTAATCGTTCTGTCCTGACATTGCAGGCATCACACAGGAGTGAGGATGTTTGGCTTGGCCTCGATGTTCAGGGGGATAGGTGCCGCGAGCACCTGCGGGGTTTGTCGCATATGCACGTGGATGACAAAGTACTTGCATATGTTCGTGCTGCGGGTTTTTATGGTCTGCACATATTGGTGGCTATTGTCCCTCTCGATAGAGCGCTACTCATCGCTCTTCTTGAGCGTTGGAGGCAGGAGACACACACATTTCACCTCCCTGTTGGTGAGGTGACAGTGACCTTGGGAGATGTTGTTGTACTTACTGGGCTACAGGTTGATGGGAGAGCTGTTACAGGCACTGCTTGTCGACAATGGGTAGATGAGTGTGAGCGGTTGTTAGGTGTCCGCCCCCTTCTTCGGACTGACCTTCAGGGGTCATCCCTGAGGATGTCATGGTTGAGGGAGCACTTCCAGGTGCTTCATCCGGAAGCTAATGAGGTGATGATCCAGCAGCATGCACGGGCATATATCTTGATGATGATGGGAGCCTCCATTTTCGCTGACAAGAGCGGAAATGAGATTCAGATGCTGCACTTGCCTATGCTAGAGAGGTTTGATGTAGCAGCACAGTTCAGTTGGGGTAGTGCCATGCTGGCTTATCTCTACAGACAGCTGTGTCGCGGCTTCCATAGAGGGAGCACAGAGCTTGGAGGATTTTTGCTACTCCTCCAGATTTGGTCATGGGAGTATATCCACATTGGGCGTCCCCTTGTAGTCGCATATCATGGCATTAATGGACACCCACTCCCTGATGAGCCTCCACGTCTTCTGGGACCACATCATGTACGGGGCGAGGACCCTCTACGGCATCAGTGTGTTTTCAATCGTTAGTATTTATGTTATTGTATGTTGAATGTAAGTATATTAATAATATCCATATTAATGAAACGATTACATGAATCGTTAGATGGCTATTTGCTGGTCTAAGTCGCATGTCATCCGCTACTCGGCTCGGTGTCTACAAGGATCCATTTGATCGGATGTCTGAGGATCAGGTATCGTGTGGGTAATATAACATATGCTATAATATGTATAGCATAAATACTAATTTTGTATCTTTATAAAACATATTACATGGATTACGTATACAACTGAGATGTTTGTAGAGTTGCCCCTAGCTGGACGAGAGCATAGTCACATATGGCGAGCACGTGTGTCGTTGATATGTTTTGACATTGTTGAGTTTCATTTGCCTGATTGAGTCTTGCGACAATTTGGGTTTGAGCAGGTCATTCCACGGCCTATCGACACTTATGTAGAGCTTCATAGGCTGGATAGGTGTGGGAAGCATACAGAGGATTGGGCACTCAGACATGTCCAATACGTCGCTTTGTAGGACAGGCGAGCTTAGCTAGTTGTGACTGGGACACCGACATTTGTCTCATCTGTTTCAGGAGACTACATGGGATGGTATTACAGCATCACTCTTTTGTTTGTGTCTCCTTCGTTCAGACTCCCTACTCATCATTATCAGTCTAGCTCCTTAGCTTTGCATCTTACGGTGAGTATATTACTAATTAGTAAAGTGAGTCATTTTATTTAGTTAATGCTTGTATGTATTTCAATGTAATTGTAATTGTGTTTCATATTTCAGACACGAGCTTTGCAGCGTATACATTAGCGGGGTACTGCCACAATGAGTGATACTCATGATGTGGACATGTATGGACAGACTCTGACAGGCATTGCCTCCTTGTGTTCAGATGTGTTAGGGCGAGTCGACTACGACCATCTTTATACACATGCCCCCATCACAGGAGATGCCATCGACGTCTAGTGCAGTGGCGGCTTCATCATCCCAAACGTAGCATGAGAGAGTGGTTCTTCAACCACAACCACGGCGTAGGCGTAGACATCAACAGCAACATCTCCATGACCACGATGATCAAGATGACCATGAGAACTTGTAGTTTGCCTTTTTGTATTGCAGTTTTTCTTGCACAGTAGATGTTGTAGGAACAATTTACAACATTTTACGTATTTTCTCTTCTAAACTCTTGTATGTTGTCTTCATGTGTTCGAGTATGTATGTTAGATGATTACTTGTTATGAATATTGGATGATTGTATTGTGTTTTACCGGTTATGAATCTAAGGATTTGTATTCTATTTGTAAAGGGTCTTTACAAGGTGTTTTGTATGTTGTTGAGAGTAATGTTATGTATGTGTTTGTGAACATGTGTGTTGTATGTTTAATAATGTGTTGTATCTGGCTCGTAACTCTTGAACAGGAGAAGGGAGACCTTATTTATAGCAAACAGATGAGTTTGGGTTGATCTGGGGCAAAAAATAATGAAATTCTGTTTTCGGAATTACGCACGGTCATGTCCCTTGCAGGCACGATCGTGCGTGGCTGGCAGTAGCTGCTGGTCTGCGTTCATATGGAAGGAAAAGTCAAGTATTTTGGCCTAATAAAAAGTCAAGTAGCTGCTGGTCTGCGTTCATAGTAGTTTTTAAAAAGTGTCA